TTAAAAAGAAATCTAGGATTATTCTTATTCTCCTCTATTAATGAGGAGAAGTATGCTGCTCTTGCTTTACAAAGGGTCCTCTTATACAGCAGTAAACCATTTTTCCAGACTTGGAAGGACTCCCGCAGGCCTGTGGAGCGATATTTTCTCTCCAGTTTCCTAGCATTTTGCTTCAAAGTACGCAGCTCTGCATTAAACCAAGGAGCAAGCTTTCTATTTTTAACGGTTTTCATTTTCAAAGGAGCTGCGTTGTCTAAGGCAGCATGCAGAGAACTAGCAACCCCATCAACAAAATCATCAACCTGTGAAGGGGAATAAGCTATGCTTTTGCACTCTGCAGCACTGCTCAGTGACACAGAGGAGAGAGAAAGTGAAGCAGATTCTTTAAAATTTATAACTGCACTATCTGATAAAGATCTACTAAAATTGAACCTTCTTTTGGGGGAGGAGAACTCTGTTAAAGTAATCCTGAAGGTTATTAGAAAGTGGTCAGAGAGGACAGGGTTGTGAGGAAATACTGTTATTTCTTCACATTCTATGCCGTATGTCAGCACAAGATCCAAAGTATGAAGATGAGAATGTGTGGGACTATTCACATTTTGAACAAAGCCAATAGTGTCTAAGATAGCATTAAAGGCTGCTCTTAAGCTATCGCCTTCAATGTCAGCATGGATGTTAAAATCTCCCACTATGATGACCCTGTCAGTATTTAATACCAAATCAGAAAGGAACTCTGAAAACTCATCTAAAAATTCAGAGTAGGGACCTGGTGGACGATACAAAGTTACAAAAAGAAGAGGTTTTCTTGCCTTGAAATTTGGATCAGGGAAATTAAGGGTTAAATGTTCAAAAGAGTTGTAGGTATTAACTGTTTTGGGAGTAATCAGTAAGTCAGACTGGAAGATTGTTGCTACTCCTGCTCCTCGCCCAGAACTTCTGGGTATGTGAAAATTTAAATAGCTTGAAGGAGTTGCCTCATTTATGCTCACATAATCCTCTTGCTGCAGCCAGGTTTCAGTAAGGCAAAACAAGTCAATGTGATTATCACAAATCAAGTCATTAACTAGCAGACTTTTAGAGGAAAGAGATCTTATGTTAAACAGACCGCATTTAATTGTTTTTACTTTTTCCCCAATTGAAGTTATTTTGATTTTAATTAGATTATCATGATTTACTCCTTTGGGAATCTTTGCTAATTTATTAGATTTTGGTCGTGGGCAAGACACTGTCTGGATGGAGTAAAGAGTGGGTAACAGTAGAGAAGCTGCAGAGATGTGTGTTAAACTACAACTCTGCTTCCTGGTCTGCACCCTGGGTGGTCAGGGTTTTGGAGGACTAATAAATGTGGCCAGATTCCTAGAAAGAAGAGCTGCACCATCCAAAGTGGGATGGATGCCGTCTCTCCGAATCAGACCAGGCTTTCCCCAAAAGGATTGCCAATTATTAATGTAGCCCACGTTGTTTTCAGGACACCACCTAGACAACCAGCGGTTGAATGACGACATGCGGCTAAACATGTCATCACTGGTCAGATCAGGGAGGGGACCAGAGAAAATTACGGAGTCCGACATTTTTTTTGTTTTTTTTGTTTAGATAAACATGGTTTAATCAGATTTACTGCTCTGAGCATGTCCCCTGATGACGTCAGAGAAGGTGTTTAATAGAGAAAATGTAAAAAGCATCAAAATTGTCTGACAAAAGTCATAGAACATTTTTAAAGATGTATTAGCATTCTTTAGTGAGTTAAGGATAGAAATAAGTAGTTTTAGTACCATAATTACATTATTTATGGACAGCCAGATGTATATCTGTTCTCGCATGAGCAGGATGAATAGTTCCTCCAGGACCAATCGGGTAGTGACAAGCAGGATGCTTCCTAACAAAGTTTCTTTAACATAGGGACCTCCTGATGTTTCTATCTAACACTTAGGAGCTGAAAGGATTCCCACAATCCTATGCGTGTCAGACCATGAGGCACAGCTCACCTCACCGAGTTTAACATTGTTTCTCCCTGTTCTCACCCTCAGATGTTTGTAGTTCTTTTCCTGCAGGTTGTAGTCCTTATTTCAACCAGAGTCATCCATGTGTTTTTCATCCATAATGACATCAATAATGCTAAAGGATCTCTGGAATTCCTCCCTGGATAGAGATCTGCTGCTGACCCATAGAAGGAGATGATTCAGTTTTCTGTATTCAGATGGAGGCTTCCTCTCTCCTCCTGATCAGAGTCTGAGCAGCTGAATCCTTCTGAGGAACTTTATGTGGAGCCAGCAGCCCTGAGGGTCTGTGGGAATATGGACCAGCAGTGCTAACAGAACCACTCACCTGAGCCGTGGATGACAGCAGCTTCTCCAGAGGTAGCATGGCTGCCGGCTCTCTAATGCTGAGTATTAATAGTTAATTCATGGTTGAGCACAAACTGATCACAACAGTCAGAAGTTTAAAATAAATATATTTTATTACTTTGAAAGGACAGTTGATGTAAAGTTAAACTGTTCATGAAGATAAAAAGCAGATGTTAATATTCAGAGACAATATTTAATATGAAGAGCAGATGATGCAGAAGCTCATGGTGGAGCAGGACTGACCGACCCAGATGTTCCCCTGATTCTGCTGCTCAGAGCAGAACCGCTGAGCAGGACTGGATCCTATGCGGCTCAGATGTTAGTGAGGAAGCCAGGGCCCTTCAGCCTCATGAGGCCCCAGCTGAACGGGCCCAAAAAACGGGCTAAAAACAGCTAACAGCTAAACGCCGACATCTACAGGTCCCTATTACATCCAGCTGATTAAAAAGGACAAAGCTCTCTGGTCTGAGCTTGAGATCCATCAAAGAACCACAGAGGAACAGTAGAGAAACTCCAGAGGAACTACAGTGGAACCCCAGAGGAACCATAGAGGAACCACAGAGGGACCATAGAGAAACTCCAGAGGAACTACAGTGGAACCCCAGAGGAACCATAGAGGCACCACAGAGGGACCATAGAGAAACTCCAGAGGAACTACAGTCGAACCCCAGAAGAACCATAGAGGCACCACAGAGAAACCCTAGAGGAACCACAGAGGAATCATAGAGAAACTCCAGAGGAACTACAGTGGAACCCCAGAGGAACAATAGAGGCACCACAGAGAAACCCTAGAGGAACCACAGAGGAATCATAGAGAAACTCCAGAGGAACTACAGTGGAACCCCTGAGGAACCATAGAGGAACCACAGAGGGACCACAGAGAAACCCCAGAGGAATCATAGAGAAACTCCAGAGGAACTACAGTGGAACCCCAGAGGAACCATAGAGGAACCACAGAGAAACACCAGAGGGACCATAGAGGAACCACAGAGAAACACCAGAGGAACCATAGAGGAACCACAGAGAAACACCAGATGAACCATAGAGGAACTCCAGAGGAACCATAGAGAAACTCCAGAGGAACTACAGTGGAACCCCAGAGGAACCATAGAGGAACTCCAGAGGAACCATATAGAAACTCCAGAGGAACCATAGAGGTGTCAGGATCCTTAGGCTTGCCCTCCAGAGGGCGTCGAGGATCCTCTTCTGCTCTGTGTTTTTCCCCTATGGTTGGAGTTCTGTTGGGATCTGGAGACTACCCTCTGTCTCCAGCAGAGTGCGCCGTGGGTCTTCTGGAGCTGGAACCTTCCTGCACACCTGTTGCTAATCCTCTCATCAGAAGACCTCTCCTATATAAGCTGACTTCAGACCTTGTCTCAACGCCGCAGTGTTGATCTTAGTTGGTTAGCAACCTGAGCCTCTGTTACTGGAAGAATCTGGGTTATCTCTAGTGTGAGATCAGATTCTAACTCTTCCCTGTTTCTGTCTCACAGGAATCCTGTCTCCTCGTGAAGCCCTGGAAGAGCTGCCTCACTGTACCTGTCTCTGGCCTGCAGCTCTGGGAGAGCTGCATCACAGGAAACATGTCTGAAGTCAGAAGCTCTAGGTGAGCTTAACCTGCTGTCTGCCCTGGTGAGCCAACCCGAAGATTCCTACGTGGATTTAACCTAAGACTCCTATGTGGAGTTTCCCTGGAGGTACCTACGTGGAATCAGCTTGAAGAATCATATGTGGATTTTCCCATTGTTCCCTGCTAAGAGCTGGAAGCTCAGCCAGAAGATCCCTTTGTGCTAATCCCCTGTTGATCTCTGCTGTGAACTGGAAGCCCAAATCTAGTACTGCTCTGCTAAGCCTGAAGCTAGATGCTTAGCCTCACATGAACTCTGCTAACCCACAGTCTCCAGTCCCAGTCAAGATTCCAGTGAACCAGCCCCTGACCCATTCCAGTCCCAGTGCTTTACCATGTGTGTCTGAACTTTTATTAAACATTTTGAACTTTTTCCCTGCCTCCTCTGTGTGTGTTCTGCATCTTGGGCTTGCCTCTGTTTACCCATCATGACAAGAGGAACCCCAGAGGAACCATAGAGGAACTCGATAGGACCTACAGTGGAACCCCAGAGGAACCATAAAGGAACTACAGAGGAACCATAGAGGAACTACGGAGGAACCACAGAGGAACCACCCATGATCATAACAGAACCAATAAAAGCAAATAAAATGGAACCACTATAGAACCTCTATAGAACGTCCTTTGAACCTCTGTGGAACCTCCGTAGAACCTCTAAAGAACATCTATAGGATCTCTGTGGAACTTCTAAAGAACCTCTTTAGAACCTATGTGGAAACAGCAGGAGCATCAGAGGAGCATCAGGAGCTGAAGGATTGTTTCTGTCGCCTGAAGCTAATCCTGAGGTCAAAGGTCACAGCGTGCTGCTTTGAAGGAGCTACAGGAACCATCTGATCCTGCTTCTCTCTTCTCAAACAGCTGATTGGCTGAATGTTGGACCACAGCTTCCAGAGCAAACATGGACCGTACCTCCTGACCGGGTCGGCCCAGTTCTGCCTCCTGACCGGGTCGGTCCAGTTCTGCCCTGCATGAGCTTCTGCCATCAGTGTCTGAAATCTTTACTAGATCAGTTCATCTTTCCACTGAGCACATTCAGAAGAAGTCGTGGAGGAAGCGCTCCTCCGTTCCGCTGTGAAAGTTTAGAAGACAAAGACACAAAAACCAACAGATGTCCCTTAGTCTCTCAGCAGGAGAGCGAGACAGAGACATTCAAACAATCAGAAACAGAAAGCTGGAGCGGCTCTGGTTCCCTGATGATATGGACGTCTGAGGATGGATGGGATGCTGAGGAGGTTTCTGTGCCTCTGAGACCCAGAACCTGCTGCTGGTTGCTGACTCACCTCAAACAGACGAACTGGAATGACTCAGCAGAGAAAATCCACCTCAAACAGGAAGAACCCAGATGTTCCAGGATGAAGCTTCATCCAGAGCTGAACACAGGGAGGCAGCAGCTCTGGTCTTCTGAGGCAGGAAGCATCTTACCTGCTTTTAGCCTCCTACAGGCTGTAACACAGCTCTGCCCCTCCTACACCTGTTGCTTCTCTCTGCTAATTGCTATTGTTTGTTCTTCCAACGGTATGTCTGCTGGAGCAACCTGACTGAGCTAGCTAGCATTAGCTCGCTGAACAGGAGGAGGCAGGAAGCTGTAGCTTTTCCCCTGCTGTTCCAGTTCGGCTTTTAGCCGACGGCTCCTCTGAGCTCAGAGATCTGGGACCAAATCAGCAACAAGCAGTGAAGTTCTGGGTCCCTAAAGGGCAGAGGAACTTCCTGCTCTGGTTCAGTTTGACCTTGGCTGTGGAGAAGGATCTCCTCATGCCTCCGTTCCCAGGAATCTCCTTCTCCACCAGCAGGTAGCGCTCACGGCCAGGTCAGGAGAGAAGGCAGACAGATGGAGAGGACTCGCCGATCTGAGCCCACAATGTGCTTTCTGCTTCACTACAATCAGCGTGTGTCACGACTGCACTGCTTCAAACAAGACACTTGATGAGGGGAGGAGGAGGGAGCAGAGCGCTGCTCATAAGGCCACAGCAGAGCCCACGCAGCCCTGGATACGCCTCCTCCAGGCCGGCAGCTGGAGGAGGCTTTAGGGGGAGGCAGCGGGAGGAGGTTGAACAGCCTGGAGAGTTGGAAGAACTTCCTGCAGGTTGAAACCATGATCAAACTAATGGAATTGCCTAAACTCCCCTTATTGGTTCCTTTTATGATAAGAAGAGAAGAGGCCTCATCATGGACCAGTAAATCCACTGGTTACCAGCATTCAATGTTTTTCTGCTTCATAAAGTCGTTAGAAACTCTAAAGGCCAATCAGTGGAACCGGCAGCAAGTTCTGCCAAGAAGGACTTTGTTTGGAGTCACTTCCTGGAGAGAGTCTAATCTTCAGCAGATAACAGGAAGGCTGAGGTTTATGCTCTTCAGCTTAAACTGGTCTATCAGGGAAGGTGTTGATGTGGGGAACCAAGGTTGTCTAGAGGAACTCCCAGGGCTGTTTCCAAACAGCTGGCCTGATGAGTGAGTCTCAGAGGCTCCGCCTTTGAGCTTCCCTCAGTAGAACAGAACGAAGCGAAGATGCATTCTGCCACCGTGGATTAAAAGTCACTCATGTTTAAGAAATACAGACAGACTCTGTGCGAAAACATTTACATCCTTTTTAAAAAAGAACTTCTGCTTTAAACCTTCAAAATTGTTTTTAACACGAACAACAAGCACCATGAAATTCACCCCGGGAACCAAGCCCCGCCCACAGCGTGGTATGTACAGTGGAGGCGCAGAAACACAGACACCGTTAGCAAACTCCCGTCATGCAGACAACAAGAGAGGAGATGGAGAGGAGACCTGAGGAGCAGGATGTGCTGTGGTTCAGGGGGGTGTTCTGGTCCTCCTATAGCCCCCGACCAGAGGACCCCACCTGGAAATGACCTTTAACACAAAGCTCCTCTGCTTTGGGGCCTCCATGATGTCAGACCTCACAGACGCAGGGAATCAGTGAGTGGACAGAAGAAGAAGGTCATGATACACCCGGCAAAAAGAAGGAATGAGGAGTCAGCTCCTCCTCCAGGAGTCAGTTCCTCCTCCAGGAGTCAGTTCCTCCTTCAGGAGTCAGCGCCTCCTCCAGGAGTCAGCTCCTTCTCCAGAAGTCAGTTCCTCCTTAAGGAGTCAGCTCCTCCTCCAGGAGTCAGCTCCTCCTCCAGAAGTCAGTTCCTCCTTAAGGAGTCAGCTCCTCCTCCAGGAGTCAGTTCCTCCTTAAGGAGTCAGCTCCTCCTCCAGAAGTCAGTTCCTCCTTAAGGAGTCAGCTCCTCCTTCAGGAGTCAGATCCTCCTCCAGGAGTCAGCTCCTCCATCCAGGAAGAGTTGGCTACTCCTCCAGGAAGAGGTGGGTCCTCCTCCAGTAGGAGGTGGGTCCTCCTTCAGGAGTCAGATCCTCCTCCAGGAGTCAGCTCCTCCATCCAGGAAGAGTTGGCTACTCCTCCAGGAAGAGGTGGGTCCTCCTCCAGTAGGAGGTGGGTCCTACTTCAGGAGTCAGCTCCTCCTCCAGGAGTCAGCTTCTCCTTCAGGAGTCAGATCCTCCTCCAGGAGTCAGCTCCTCCTCCAGGAAGAGTTGGCTACTCCTCCAGGAAGAGGTGGGTCCTCCTCCAGTAGGAGGTGGGTCCTCCTCCAGGGGTCAGCTCCTCCTTCAGGAGTCAGATCCTCCTCCAGGAGTCGGTTCCTCCACCAGGAAGAGTCAGCTCCTCCTCTAGGAGTCAGATCCTCCTCCAGGTGTTAGCTCCTCCTGGAGGAGGAGCCCAGGAGTGAGCTCCTCCTCCAGGCTGAACTGTTTGTGCAAAGGAACAGGAGCGGCGCCCTGCTGCCTCCTACGGCCCGCTGCTGGACGGAGAAGATGAGACGTCCTCAGGGTCAGATGACTCTGGGGACTCCAATACAGCGCTGTCCTTGGTGCTGGAACTATCCTTGGTGCAGGAGCTGTCCTTAGTGCTGGAGCTGTCCTTGGTGCAGGAGCTGTCCTTGGTCCCGGAACTACCCTTGGTGCTGGACCTGTCCTTGGTACTGGAGCTGTCCTTGGTGCTGAAGCTGTCCTCAGCCTCAGCAGATGTGCTGCTGTTGCTGCTCTGACCATCTTGACCCTCTGAGTTTTCCAGCATCTCTTGGATGAGAGGTGGCATGGAACCTGGAATCTCCATCTTCAGAGAGATGACCCGCTCAGCTCCTGAAGAACAATGACAACGATGTTGATGAGGCTCACTCAGACTGAAGCTTAAACCAATCACGATTTTACTGATTAGAACCACAACAGACGATGTCTTTCCTACCTTTAGCACTGATGCTGCGCAGGTCCGTGATCTTCATCAGGGTCTTGGGGAACATGTGGGGTTTGCTTGGCCGCCGCTTTCTCACGTAAATCTTTAGAGCCTCGAGTAGCGGCTCCTGGAGCTCGTCTACCTTGGAAGGCTCCTCCAGGTCCTGGCGGTCTACAGACAACAACATCTCAGATTATTTTAAGCAGAAAACTGAGCTACACACCAAGTGGCCGGTGGAGATGGCAGAACATTTGCTACAACATGGCTCCCGGCATCAGTTAGTGGATGCAGAGGGTAAACGGTGAACTTCAGGAAGGAAAAAGACAGCATTAAACTCAGTGGATGTTTGGGGCTTTAAGGTGACGCCCTGCCTTCATCTTCATCATTTTGATTCAAGCCTCAGTGACCCCCATGAAATCTCATCTATCCCCTAAAAAACATGAGCAGCCACCCCACCCCACCCCACCCCCGCACCTCCAATACCATCCCTCGCCCCAGCTTTAGAATATTAGCGGCTTATTTGCACAGCGACAGCAAGTGCTCTTTTTTAGCTAATGATTGCGGTGCCTTCTATTGGGAAAGCCATCTGATGTAGAGGACTGTTCAGAAGTGCAGCGATGCAAATGGCGCAATCAGGGCAAACAGAAGGGAACAGGAAGACTTGTGACAGCTAATCAGAGGCTCCTTGAACTGGGAGCATCTCTGGAGGATCTGGTGGATCCAGAGACGCTGGAACCATTGCTCAGCTTATTATCAATAAAGCACCGTGATTGGCTCGGTTAAGTCCAGCTCTGCCATGTTGAACTGAACAGATCTTTAATTGGCAAACATAGATGCTGAATATGGAACATCAAAGATATTTTACACAGAAACCAATCATTGTTCTACTTTTATTGATTCAGTCATAACATCTTTTACATTTATCAGTTATTTGATTCTGATGACTCAATACAGAAATACAAAGCTGATAAAAATATGGTAGCATGAATACAGCCTTTTTATGAATCCAATCTCTTTATATAAAATATAAACCTGAATCTAACACTTTTATCTTATCATCCAACTAAACTAGAAATTGGTCTAATTTCTTCTCTTCATCATCCAATAAGAATCGTTCCTTATTTTAGAAAGATGTTGTTTCTGCTCAACATCAGGTTCCTTATTGGAACTGGTTGTTAATCATCTTAATTGAAAAAAAAGGAAACTATCAGTTAAATGCTTCCCAGATAATATGATGAAAGAAATAAGAGGAAAATTTTTACAGCGTATTCAGAAAGTCAGAGACTTAACCTTCTCTGTTGGTGAACAAAACCCTGAGGATGCTTTTCCTTTTTTGTAGTCTTGCTCCTTTTATAACAAACTCTGGAAAGACGTCTTGTTTTGAACAACATCTTTCTCTTTGCTTTGACCATCATGCTTGGTTTCATCAACTTTCATTCAGTAAAGATAAAGATATTTTAAATAGTTATTCTCATATATGAACCGAAAGGCTGAAACAATAAACAGGAACCTCTTTTTTTCTGGTTTTAAAGAGTTTTCAGACGATATTTAATAACAACTAAATACTCTGTTGTGTCAAAGGAACCATGTGATCCTATAGGCCTTTTCTTTAGTGGAAGCTAAAGAAAAGCAGATATAGTAAGTTCAAAGGTTGCCGGTCTTAATCTTTATTTCAGTTTGAGCTTCATCACTGCAGACATGACCCCAGTGATGAAGGTTTCTGTCCTCATCTTCTCAGATTAAATGCATGGTTTTATCAGTAGTGCAGCGACATGTTAGCATAAAGTAATCATTGAGTCAGAGCCTTTTTCCATCAGTCTAATAAACAGGATGGTGAGGGAAGCTAATACCGAGGTAAGTCAGCAGGGGGCAGTGTGTACTTTCTAATGTTGGACCTGCTGTCAGAGCACAGGTCTTCTTTTCTTTTCATGGATTATGCAAGAGCCTGTAATGTTTGTGTGGACTGAACTGATGGAGAACCCAGCAGCGACGGTAGCAACGCCCCAAACAAGGTGTGTGTGTGTGTGTGCGTGTGTGTGTCTGTGTGTGTGTGTGGGGGGGGTGTTGGGCTTAAGGTAGTAAGGAGAGCCAGACATGGGAAATGACCAAAACGGAACGACTGAGCACCCAGAGATGGAGCTATTCATGCTGCTGTTCGCCATGTTATAGAGCTGTGGATTCCAGCTCTGCTCCGTCCACAGCAGGCTGCAGCTTCGCTCTGACATAAATCACCTCACCGAGGGAGAAGAGGAGAACCAGGAAACACTCCGGCCCTATCATCCTCCAATCAGGAGCAAATGATGTCACTAGGCTCCACTAGTTAAACTTGGTCTCAGACTGAACTGAACTGACAGGTGGGATGAAGAAAGTTCCCAGTAGTCACCATTTAGGAGACCTTTATACCACACTTCCTTTCTCTTCTTTTGGCTCCTCCTTCTTCTTCTTTGACTATTCTAGCTGATGTACATGTATCCACTCTGAGATCAATAAAGTCAATCAATCAATCAATCAATCAATCAATCAATCAATAAAGTCAATCAATCAATCAATCAATCAATCAATCAATCAATCAATCAATCAATCAATAAAGTCAATCAATCAATCAATCAATCAATCATACTGGTTCCAGAGGTCTGCAACCTTCCTCCTGATCTGCTGGGTTAGCTAATGGCTAACTTATAAGGAAGGCGCCTGTTCGTTTCTGGGCTGCCTACGGGAGGAACGATGAGACAAAAGTTAAACAACAACCTGATTCATGCGAACCGATGAGCTAAATGCTTCCTGCTCTGAGTGATGGACCAACGGTTTCTGCAGGTTTTGCTTCAGAGCTGAAGAGCAAAGAGACAAACAGCTGGTTTTATTCAGGTCCAGAAATTTCTCTAAGCTGAAAGTTCTGCTTGGTTCTACCTGAACCTTTCTAAGCAAAGGCACATGGAGGGTGCTGCTGCAGCTGATTGGGTACTGCAGTTGGTCAGGACTATATTTTAATCATGTGGGAAACCAACCATGAAGCTACCAGGAAAGCTCAGAAATAGAGTTGTGGTTCACAAACCTCCGGAGATGAGACAGATGGCGCTGAGGAGACCCGTCTCTGTGTCGTCCATCTCAATGGGCAGCAGCTGGTTGGCAAATGTGAACACCAGGTCAGTGAGCGGGCCGAAGCCAGCGTTGTGCATCTGTGTCCGGTTGAGGGTCAGTCCGTCTGAGAAGGTCATGGTGTCCTGATCAGGAGTGTACCTGGTGCAGATGCGTAGAATCTGAAGGCAGAGGACAGAACAGAGGGATCTGGTCAGAGGAACGGATGCAAAACATGACCATTTGTTTTCAGTTTGCTCTGCAGGCTCGTTTCCACAGCCTGCCTCCAAACATAGAAATAATAACAAATTCAACTTTCTACAATAATCAGCAGGCTAAACAAAGTGGTTCACAATCCAATACAAAGAAACATGATACACATATTTAAACTGAGTTAGAGATGGATGAAAAAGGGACTAACAAGCTTCAAGAGACAACAGACTGGATGCATCAGAACCAGAGAGACTGGATGCATCAGAACCAGAGAGACTGGATGCATCAGAACCAAAGAGACTGGATGCATCAGAACCAGAGAGACTGGATGCATCAGAACCAGAGAGACTAGAGGTATCAGAACCAGAGAGACTGGATGCATCAGAACCAGAGAGACTGGATGCATCAGAACCAGAGAGACTAGAGGCATCAGAACCAGAGAGACTGGATGCATCAGAACCAGAGAGACTGGATGCATCAGAACCAGAGAGACTGGATGCATCTGAACCAGAGAGACTAGAGGCATCAGAACCAGAGAGACTGGATGCATCAGAACCAAAGAGACTGGATGCATCAGAACCAGAGAGACTAGAGGCATCAGAACCAGAGAGACTGGATGCATCAGAACCAGAGAGACTAGAGGCATCAGAACCAGAGAGACTGGATGCATCAGAACCAAAGAGACTGGATGCATCAGAACCAGAGAGACTAGAGGCATCAGAACCAGAGAGACTGGATGCATCAGAACCAGAGAGACTGGATGCATCAGAACCAGAGAGACTAGAGGCATCAGAACCAGAGAGACTAGAGGCATCAGAACCAGAGAGACTGGATGCATCAGAACCAGAGAGACTGGATGCATCAGAACCAGAGAGACTGGATGCATCAGAACCAGAGAGACTAGAGGCATCAGAACCAGAGAGACTGGAGGCATCAGAACCAGAGAGACTAGAGGCATCAGAACCAGAGAGACTGGAGGCATCAGAACCAGAGAGACTGGATGCATCAGAACCAGAGAGACTGGATGCATCAGAACCAGAGAGACTAGAGGCATCAGAACCAGAGAGACTGGAGGCATCAGAACCAGAGAGACTAGAGGCATCAGAACCAGAGAGACTGGAGGCATCAGAACCAGAGAGACTGGATGCATCAGAACCAGAGAGACTGGATGCATCAGAACCAGAGAGACTGGATGCATCAGAACCAGAGAGACTGGATGCATCAGAACCAGAGAGACTAGAGGCATCAGAACCAGAGAGACTGGATGCATCAGAACCAGAGACTGGATGCATCAGAACCAGAGAGACTAGAGGTATCAGAACCAGAGGCATCCGAACCAGAGAGACTGGATGCATCAGAACCAGAGAGACTGGATGCATCAGAACCAGAGAGACTGGAGGCATCAGAACCAGAGAGACTAGAGGCATCAGAACCAGAGAGACTGGAGGCATCAGAACCAGAGAGACTAGAGGCATCAGAACCAGAACCAGAGCATTTCCCCTCAGCTTCCCGATGCTCCACGTCTCTTGGGGATGGGGCGGCTTTGATGATTTAAAAAAGGGCCATGCTCTGTGTGTTGTTGCTGTTGTTCAAGAGGTTATTTTAAAATTTTGCAATGAAATAATAATTTAGTTAATAGATAAATAATTGAATCCAGATGAATACATGAAATAATTCACCATAACTGCGGGTTTGACGATGCCAGGCTGGTTAGAAAACTGCAGGAATACTGATATTAGAAAAGCTTCAGCTCTGCCAGAAACAATCAAAACAAAAATGCTCTCAGTTTTATGGAGATTCAATTATTGAGGATTATTAAACTCAGAGCAACACAGATGAACTTTATTTAGGAATAATGCAGATTAAGCCCAAATAAGCTTATCTACAGTCTATTTGTTTTTATAAATCACCCGATCATGTCTGTGTCTCCGTCTGTTTTGATCAGTTTCTCTCCTTTAAAACATAAAATAGCATCCATCTATTTGATCATTTTTAATCCCTCTCCAATGTTTCAATATCCGACCGTAACCAACCCTGTTTTACAGCCGATCCTTTAGAAATCAAGTAACTGGGAAAGTTGGCGAGCGACGTAGTCCACCTACTCTTACAATCAGAAAGCCACCCTGTGACCTTCCGCTGACCCCTAATGAGGCACCTAGCAGCAGCGTGGGCCTGTGATTGTGGACGCTGAGCCCACAGCAGCCTTTGAAGCCGTTTGAGTGGGCTGCCTCTGACAGTGAGTGGCAGGCATGGCGGCAACATGAAACAGAATAAAACATGGCTGCTGGCGGCGAGTCTCACCGGCTGGCTGGCCAGGCCTGCTCCCAGTCACGCTCCAGCTCTGCCCCACTCACACACTCATCCATACGTGCCGCGTTTGATCAGAGCGCAGCGGCCGCGTCCTTCACCACAGAAACGTGTTGGTGAGCAGACGATGATGATGATGGCTGAGCAACAGCCACAAAGTCATCACAGTCGGCCTTCAACTTCTCAACCCTGCTTTGCTGCTGGTTCCCTCCTCCACGGTTTTATCATATCAGCCGAGCAGGACCGCTCCGTACTTCCTGCCACAACCGCCCATCAACACGGCGCCGCCTGGACAGCAGAACCAGCGCGGGACGATGTTCTTCTCATGTTCCACCAGCAGTTCATCCAGATTCACTTTACTTTTTTGGTTCAATCTTCCTGAATAATTTATAAATCTAATCAACCATTAACCTTTGACCCCATTGGTCAAGTTCCAAACCAGTCAGAACCAGTAAACTTAAAGGAACCAGTCTGACTGCAGAGGTTCTGTTTCTGGTTCCTTAGAGAACCTCTGAGAACAACCAGCAACATGGAGACCTAATCCATTTCCCTACTGATCTGCTCCCAACTAACACTAGAAACTTTGTACAAACTCAAGCTTCCTTTTTATTTTCTTTATGTAAAAAAAGGACATAAAGACAATTTCAGGTCAAACCTGGAAAGTTTACATAATTTTCTGAAAAAATTAATCCAGTGAAGATCTAGAGTGGTGCAGAATAAAAACCAACCAAAGGTTAGCATTAGCATCAGCACACCTTTCAAACAGTGAGTAATGAGAGAGGGAGACAGCGCCACTCAGTGGCTGGAAGGTTCCGGTTAAATTAACAAACAAACTATAAAACTACCAAATTTCTCTTATAAAAAAAAGACTTTTGGGGAGATTTTAATGTCTGACTAAATCCGAAAATGTATTCATCAGGAAGAAATTTATTCATCAGGATGAACATTCTTCCACAGTTGCTCTGCTTATTTCAATGTCCACCAGTCAAAATCCTTCCCAATCAGTTCTTAGAATGGGAAAGATTAATAGCGAGGGTAAAAAAGCCAGAATAAAGTTTAGAACTTTGGTGGAATGGGCCTTTCCTGTTTACAGGAATACTATCTATCATTCAGCCCAGGTGAGGCCTTTAGTCTGCCTCTGTTCACCATCGTCCATGGCAGCCTGGAGGAACAACAATAAAAGGAATAACAGCCCTTCTTAGTGATTATAAATTACAGGAAGAACAGCAGATCCCAGAGAAGTCCATAACAGGTAGCTTTTTGTAGTCCTTGCAGGAATTGGCTCAAATTTTTAGAATAGGAGATGCATCTAAAATAATGAAGTGGCGTGCCTATGATTCAGATTTTTCACCAAATGAAATTCAACAGTTTCAAATGATGGATCTCAAAAGGATTAACTTCCTATTATTCATTTGCCCACAAAGGGATATTTCAAACTTTTGAAACCTTACAGAAGGACCATGGTCTGGAAAAAGATGATTTCTTTAGGTACCTGCAGGTGAGACATTATTTTAATAAGAATTTTAAAGAGGTGATGAGAAAAATGAGTCAAGTTTCATGAAGGCATTTCTGTCACTAATTAAGCCCAGATCAGCAGCAGAATTGTCTCCAAGTGATGTAATAAAAAAAAAAAAAAAAAGACTTGTGTTGCAAATGAATTTTAGATTGAGGCACAGATACATGCAACCACACAAACACTGAGAATCTAGGAGGCAGTTAAGCTATCAGTCCTGATTTTGGACTGTAGGGGATCCTGGGGTACCCAGAGAGGACCCACACTGCACACAGAGAACATGCTAACTCGAACGGGAATCAAACCTAGAACCTTCTAGCTGCAAGGCAGCAGCGCTACAACCTGCAGCCAACAAGGAAACAATATTTTCTCTCTCTGATCTAAAGATAATCTGGAAGAATTTTCGAGGTAAAAGCATTTAAATGGCCTATAACTGGGGTGGGGGGGGGGGGGGGGGTGTTACTGCATTCATTCATTCATTCATTCATTTATTCATTCATTCTTTCTTTCTTTCATTCATTCATCTATATCTGTGCTCTTCCATTTCCCTTTTCTTTCCAACCCTCTTCAGTCTGTTTCCTTCTCTTTGTTAAAAATATTTTTAGTCTTCTATAGATCTATAGACCATCTATAGACCGTCTATAGACCATCTATAGACCATCTATAGACCATCTATAGACCGATGTATAAACTTAGTCCTGATCTACAGTTATGAGAAGGACTCTTTCCAATGAAATTATGGTCAGAAATCATTTCCTCATTCCAGAAGTTATATGCAAACTTTATGAATAATATTTTGCAGAGACACTATGCTGATATTTTAGCCTTTCTGAACGTGTTGATGACTTGCAGAAAATAAAAAACTGCAATTCGATGAACATCATAATAGAAATAAGATTCTGAAGTGAAACCTGGATTTGCTGCATGTTGAGGTTTATGCTCAGAAAGCAGCGATCTTTTTGCTAGCTGCTAGCCAATTGGAAAGATGGATGACTGCCTCCCTGACTGCTCCACTCATTATTCTCCAGACTCCTCCATCAGACGTCTTGGTTTATGGTGAAATGATGTACGTTCCACTCACAGATAATGACTCTGGCAGCGCTTACTGGAGGCTCTAGAAATGTAGCTGGAACCATTTCATTTGCATGA